CGCCCTCGGGAATTCCGCAAACCTGCCTCGGGTTACGGGGCCATTTAATCACTAATCTCCCTCAAGCCATGCTATTACTTATAATTATTGTTGGTACCAATGTTTTAAACCGTCTTCACTTGTCAAAACGTCTAGAAGAACACAATTAGGAAGAACAAACATATATGTCTTTTAACATGATATGATTAGTTTGTTGCAAGTTTTCACATTCTTCCAAGTAATAATAGTCTGCTGTATTTTCCAATTGGTAAACAAGACAGTGTCATTGATGGTTTTTTTGTCCAATATGCAGATGTTTCGTATTTATTTAGCATGTACAGGTACATAGTGTCCATTGTTGGCCATCATATTGTCCAATAACTTGTTAGGTTACCGTACATACTGTATAAAGGTATGTAATATCTTGACATAGTAGACATACAATGTTCCTGACATCCATATGGTAGATTGGAAACAGGTACAGTAATTTAATAATACATGGCAGATTCCATATCCCATTGCATTAGATGTACTGTATTGTAATATATCCAATCTTGTAAATCAGCATTCTTGTTTAAAACTCATTAACTGGCAATGCGCCCGGATGCGCCCTGGGATTGGCAAGTGGGTAACTTGCAATGCGCCCGCATACGCCCACAAATGACACCTCAACTTCCGGGCATGATATTTGAGCACGTGTTTATCGGGTTGCCTAGCAACGGATACGAAAATAGAACCCGAAATTCGAGCTTTTCAACGATGTATTATGGGCCATTCCATTTAATAAGCGCACCCCCCTATTGAGGGTTAAGGTTCCACACCCCCTTGGATATTTTCTACTGTAAGACCCGTCTGGATTTTTCCTTGCCTTGTAATTTTCAACCCCCTTGGATTTCTTAACCATGTTTTGACCTATTGAGGGCTTTTTGTTTTCACCCCCTAGGATATAATAGGTTTTTTGTTTCCACCCCCTAGGATATAATAGGTTTTTTGTTTTCACCCCTTAGGATATAATTTAAATTGATGTGCATATGAGCTTGCTTTTTAATTAACCTATTATAAGGAGGGTTAGGGGTGGTAAAATTTGTTCTTGTTGTGGCCGGATATTATTGAAAGCAATACTATCACCTATGAAGACAGTCGCAGGCATCGAATGTAAAGTCGCTCAGAAATAAAAGACGATCACATACAATCAAAGTAGGCAAGTAAATATGATTTTAAAATATAAAATTCATTACAAATTTTATTGTTTAGTATATTTTATAATGATATATTTACTATACACTGATACACGTCTGGGCCGCCTGTGGGGCTACAGGCTTCATTGTGTCGCCGGTGAGCCAAAGTGAAGGACACTTCACAGCGAAAAAATTGCTTAAATTTGTAATATATCTCTCACGAGGCAATGCCTCCCGCCCGACGCCAACGCATAGCTGTACAACAACGCGCGGAGAATGCAAATCAGCCATCGGTAAACGATCTTCGACAACAATGTCTAGACAAAGGTTTATCTGACCATGGTCGTCGAAATACGCTAGTCGCAAGACTGCAACAACATGCTTCAACGTCGTCGTCGAACAATACCGCCACAGAAGCTGCGACAATTGTTGATACTGCGAACAACAGCGAGCAAACACCACTCGTCGAGCGAAGATCTGTGTCACACGAAAGCTCAAGCGAAAACCCTCTGCTGAACGACGCTCAGTTGGCCCAAATCGAACAATCGGTGAACGATATCGCAACAAACGCCGCTCGCGCTCGTGCTGCAGTACAAGCCATGGCAACTGCGCCTTCGTCAGCGCCTACGAATGAGCCACAACAAATCACGGGCACGGAGCTTTGCCCAGTGTTGATAAACGACACCACGCCAATCTCGACGCCAAGGTTCCAAACGTTCGAGCCCGAAGCGCCACATTCCTCTTCGCAGAGTCTTCCCGTTAGTAATCATCTCCCATACGGACAATCTTTCCACGACCTACCGGCATCGTACGTGAAGAAGATCCGGTCGGGTGAGTTTTTTGAGCTATCAAAACTTTTGCCAAAAAATTTATGCAATACGGTAGACGAACAGCCCGTTGTACTAACGGTCGAAAATTCTATTGTTAAAGTTAAGCAGTCCACTCAGTCCACAACAAATATCACGGACATTGATAAGTGGACAACAGGCTTCACCACCTATATGAGCGTTTTCACGCATCAATCCCTAACAGAGCCCAGGAATTGTTGCAATATATGACCATTATTCGCCATGCTGCTCATTGTCACAAAGGGATGGGTTGGTGTATTTACGACATCAAGTTTCGTCGGAAGGCTGCACTTAACCTATCCCTCAACTGGTCCGAAATAGATCAGCAATTATGGTTGATGACCTTTACAGTACCACCAGCCAGTCTTAGAGAGGAATACCCTCTTTTCCATAAAGGACCCCAACACTATGCCACCCCGGGGACCGAACAAGGGGGCATTTGCCGAGATTTCAATAGGAGCGGCGCTTGCAAACGAGCGCAGTGCAGGTACCGACATATCTGCAATCGCTGTGACGGGGAACATGCCGGTCTTTACTGTACAGAGAACGAAAGTCTCCAACCATATAGAAAACAAGGAAAGATCCATTCATCCAGCAGCCAGCGCCATTCCAACCAAGACAAACGATAGTAATGTAGTTAGATCACTAACACCTATTTTTGTAGCTAATTTAGAAGATTCTCTAGCGGGACATCCCGACCCAACGCTTGTTTCACAATTATGTTCAAATTTAAAGGATGGAGCCCAAATAGGTTTTGAAGGGCAAAGGGCACCTAGATTTTCAAAAAATTTGCCCACTGCCCTTACCCATCCAAATATTGTAACATCAAATTTGGAACATGAGATCTCCCTTGGCCGTGTGGCTGGTCCGTTCAAGACCCCACCTTTTTCTAATTTCCAAGTCTCTCCTATTGGCCTGGTACCAAAAAAGAATTCGACAAAATTTCGAACAATTTTCCATCTTTCTTTTCCAAAATCAGGTGCAACAAGTATTAATGCATCAATTCCAAAGGAAGATTTTAGTCTCCATTATGTGACAATTGACAATGCGATTGAAGGTATTAAGCGTTTCGGACACGGCTGTTTTCTGGCTAAAACTGACATTGAATCCGCCTTTCGTCTCATTCCTGTGCACCCGGACGACTATGAGCTTCTCGGTATGTATTGGGAGGGGAAATACTATTATGACAAAGTTTTACCTTTCGGCCTACGAAGTGCTCCATATCTGTTCAACCAACTTTCTGATGCTATTGAATGGATCTTACAAAATAAGTGCATGATTTCATTTGCATGTCATATTTTGGATGATTTTCTTATCATGGAGCCACCATCCCAACTGCCCCCACACTATAGCACTTGCCAACAAAGTCTAACTGCCATGATGCTTACATTTAAGAACCTTAACATCCCATTAGCCCCGGGCAAGACACAAGGTCCTGCAACTGTGTTAGAGTTTATGGGCATTATCCTGGACAGCGTTCGAATGGAAGCACGGCTGCCGGATGAC